TTTAATTAAGTGTCAGCGAGATGTACTAAATTTGGTTGAACGTATAAAAGTTTACCTCTTGGCCTTTGTTCAATTTCTGCTTTGTTGAATGTTTATTGTGGCCATTTAAGGGACTTCCGTCGTCCTTTTTATCCCCGCCTACACACTCTTCTATCACATATGTGTCGGTAGGCGGGCATAGTTTGTGTACGCCAGGCTCTGGATGTCTTTATCATTAAGCCTTCAACCTCTTGGTCGCGTGTTCGAAGCCTACCTGGGGAAGACGCCAGGTACTGACCGAAGGTCAGTGATTTTCCTAAGGGAACAATATTTAACCAAACCAACGACAAGAAAAATGGCAGATATGGGATTTGAGTACGTGCTCCGTTAAGTAACATTTGGAAACACCAACAATATTGAATTCTGTTATTACTCAAGCATTGAATGGCCAAGCTGTGGCATGTATAGGGGATATAAATGACAACGTGTTGTTTGTAACTTGATAATAATAAACTAATGGGACGCCTTCGATCCCTGGTTATGATATCTTTCTCTGAAGGAAGGAGAAAACGACCCTTAAACAATAAACTTTTACCAGGTGGGATATACAGTTGATATAAAGTCAATCCGGGTGGAAGATAAATATAATGGAGGCCTTTAGCTGAAATAAAATGAGAAAAAATCGACAGAATGGTCGACAGTAAGATAATGGCGGTAAGACATTCCAACAAACTATCGACAGAAATATAAGAACATGCAATTCAGTATTGACAGCGTGTCCCAGCAAGCGGATCACTCATTTGGACAATGTACCGTTGTTTTCAGTATGTTCCAAATCGGACCTATCCTCATGAGAGAAACGCCTCAGATACGATTGGTATTTCTCTAAATCGCATTCCTTCTGTCTGGAAATGTCGTGTAAATTTTATCGCCGGAATATATATCATGATGTATTAGAATAAAGTAGATGAAAATACAGATGCATTTTGACATTTTTTTATTTTTATATGCGTTTTGAAATAACTTGACTGAATACCAAACATTTGCGGCAGAAGAACTCAATTTCTTTGGAAATAGAGTTAATACATCATCATCCTTTTAGTGCTAATGGAGGTATGATTGTTTTGAATGGGGTAAACGTGCTACCGGAACATCTCAATTCGATTTACGTTTTTGTTTTGTTTTTTGTTTTTTTCTTGTTTTTTTTTTTTGTTTTTTTTTCAACTCTCTGTATTATTCATATTTTTGGTCGCCTACACGCTCAACCTTCATCAATCATTCATATAAGCACGTATTTGTATTAATGGCTTGCTTACTGACTTCATACTCCATCTTCCAACTTCAAGAGGCACATAGTCAAGCTCCATATTAGCACATAATACCAGAAAAGAATAATTGTTTCTACATACTGCTAAATGACATGTTTTCGTGGTACTCATTTCTTTCCTTTAATAATGGCACTTGATGTCGTGGATATACTTAAAATGCCCGCTGATTGTTTATCGTTTCGTGGGTATATCAATTCATGTGTTAATGGTACCCATGAAATCGACGCAAAATAAACATCCACGAAAATTGATTATCTTACATTATCTGTTGACGTTGATATTCATGTCAGGATGTGTTTCGATATTTCATGCGGCTTAATGTATCGAGTTAAAATACTTGTATAATGTCACATTAATACAAAACAAGAAACACGATATTTGAAATATTTCTTTTTTGAAAAATCAGTCTTCCAGATTTCAACATGTTTATCGATATTCCATTACAATCGTGAAAATGATTTTGGTGTATTATTCAAATAAATGTGTATTATAATATGTATAATATGTAGATACTGCTTGATATCAGACAGGGTCCGGTTTAGACAGGTATACTGTATATATATTACTTGGTATCAGACAGGGTCCGGTTTAGACAGGAATACTGTATATATATTACTTGGTATCAGACAGGGTCCGGTTTAGACAGGTATACTGTATACATATGTATTGTTTGGTATCAGACAGGGTCCGGTTTAGACAGGTATACTGTATACATATGTATTGTTTGGTATCAGACAGGGTCCGGTTTAGACAGGTATACTGTATACATATGTATTGTTTGGTATCAGACAGGGTCCGGTTTACACAGGTATACTGTATACATATGTATTGTTTGTTATCAGACAGGGTCCGGTTTAGACAGGTATACTGTATACATATGTATTGTTTGGTATCAGACAGGGTCCGGTTTAGACAGGTACACTGTATACATATGTATTGTTTGGTATCAGACAGTGTCCGGTTTAGACAGGTACACTGTATACATATGTATTGTTTGGTATCAGACAGGGTCCGGTTTAGACAGGTATACTGTATACATATGTATTGTTTGGTATCAGACAGGGTCCGGTTTAGACAGGTATACTGTATACATATGTATTGTTTGGTATCAGACAGGGTCCGGTTTAGACAGGTATACTGTATACATATGTATTGTTTGGTATCAGACAGGGTACGGTTTAGACAGGTATACTGTATACATATGTATTGTTTGGTATCAGACAGTGTCCGGTTAAGACAGGTATACTGTATACATATGTATTGTTTGGTATCAGACAGGGTACGGTTTAGACAGGTATACTGTATACATATGTATTGTTTGGTATCAGACAGGGTCCGGTTTAGACAGGTATACTGTATACATATGTATTGTTTGGTATCAGACAGGGTACGGTTTAGACAGGTATACTGTATACATATGTATTGTTTGGTATCAGACAGGGTCCGGTTTAGACAGGTATACTGCATACATATGTATTGTTTGGTATCAGACAGGGTCCGGTTTAGACAGGTACACTGTATACATATGTATTGTTTGGTATCAGACAGGGTCCGGTTTAGACAGGTATACTGTATACATATGTATTGTTTGGTATCAGACAGGGTCCGGTTTAGACAGGTATACTGCATACATATGTATTGTTTGGTATCAGACAGGGTCCGGTTTAGACAGGTATACTGTATACATATGTATTGTTTGGTATCTGACAGGGTCCGGTTTACACAGGTATACTGTATACATATATATTGTTTAATATTTGGCAGGATCCGGTTATGTGTATATAATGGATTTTGTTTGGTATCAGACAGAGTTCGGTTAAGGCAGGTTTTACTGTCTATAAATTGTAACGAGGAATTAATTCAATTTGTTTTACGGCGTCAAAAATGCTGTTACACTGACACACATGGATCACAAATGTTTTTTATCTTCTTAATTAGCTCTTCTGTCTTCAACATATGCATCCATCCCAAACCTCACTAATCCGGAAATTCGAATTCTGTTTCCGGAAACACTCTTTAGCATGAAGTTAATATAGTAAAAATTCCAACAAATGTTTCTGACAGTTTTTGTTACCACGTGCAAAAAATGTTGTGTTCAGTCATTATAGGTGTTTAGGAATAAGTGAAGATCTGAAAAAACTCAAATCAAACTAGTGTACTACATGACATATCTACTTATGTTTAGGTACAGTGCACCCTCTTACGATGTTTTCTGTACGTCTGTAACGTCTGTACGTCTGTACCGTCTGCACGTCTGTACGTCTGTAACGTTGATTACCATCAGACGTGGTACAATTCAAATCATATGTTGTGATTGACGTAACGAGAAAAAATCAGTTGATTACATGAACGAAATGGGGTTTACAAATGTGCCTATGTTAAGTCATTGTGTCACAGATAAATACTTATTTATTATGTAATTGTTTGACCCAAATAGAGCACAAACTGGAAAAAACGAAAACAAAAAGCAACAAAAAATGAAAATAAAAACCAAACAATCAAAACAAAAACTTAAAAAAGGAAAAAAATGTTTGAAAATTCTAAAACTGAATTTCTTGAACAAATAAATACCAGTTTCAGCGATGATTTGAAATATCTCATCTTTAAAGGTTGACAGAGACAATGAAGACACTGAGTGCAAATCACAGACAACCACAGAACTGTCAATTCTATTGTCTGGTGAATTCTTATAAAGCTTTACATATTACGCAAGGAAGTCGTGTAACACACAGCAGTACCCCAAAAAAATCCCGTTCTGCCGTAGAGCAATTTCGATTTCGTCTTGAAGAAACCTTAAGCTCGATAGAACACACTATTTTCCGCTCCAGGGCCTGTGGTAATACGTTGATGGTATGTCTCAATCTACCTATTCCCATTTCCATGAATACGGTTATGATTTACGCTGTTTATCGACGGTTGGATGGTACGACATATCAATAATTTTTATCTGAAATATCCAAGAGGTATGAGCAATCCACGGAATGGTGATGTGGTCTACACTAAAGGACAGCAAAACACATACCGGGAGTATCCCGGAAACTGGTGTAGTCACGATAAATTATCAACCAATTAACGCTGACGCCAAGCGTTCAGATGATATAGAGTTATTTCGATCACTGAAGCGTTTGAAAGGCATATAATATTAAGAAAACAGATAGTAATTTCGATTTATATGTTGGTTCACAAATAAGGATGTTTTACTATACTTTTATAACAATTCTATATGCACTTCGGGTTTTCATGTTTTAAATGTATAGAAAAAAATAGTAATATGTTGAATTCTATTATCAAGCACCACGCTCTTGGTTTTTTGACCTGTCACTTTTGTATGTTTTCATTACCTTAAATGTATTCATTCTGCAATATTTACCAATGTATGGAATTGCTAATATGTACCTTCACTTAAGTCTGTTGTGAATTATAAGCTTATGAACTGCCATTGGCTTAGAAATACTGCAAGTAACGTAAGCAAAGTGAAGAAGTCTTCCCATATGATAAGACGTGAATTAACAGTAAATTCCTTTTAGTTCAATCTTTGCTAAATTCTTACAAACTTTCACAGTTTGAACTGAACTCAACCATTAAACATTTAACTCTCTTTTTCAAACATGAAACCGTTTTCCGGATAAGATAATCAAATTTTACATTGACCTTTGTTTTTTTTTTATTTTACAGGCAAAAAATAAGATCGTCATGCTGAAAGTACTTAAGGAACTGCGAGGTAAACGGGCATTCCACCCAATATCGGAGGAGGGCGAACGGGAGACGGAACAGCGCAAGGAAGAAGAGCAGGTATGTACCAGTCGTATCGGGTTGTTAACGTCATATCGAAAGCTTAGTGATTAAGACGTTCTAAACACTAGTCCTCCAACTCTGGGTCGCGGGTTATATACCTGTATGGGGTAGTCGACAGGTTTTGGCCGCAGGTCGGTGTTTTTCTCTGTCTTTCCTCAACAACCAAAAAACTGACACGTCCTTTAATGGCCCTGGCTGTTAATAGGACGTAAAGTGACGAAAAGTACATTATATATATATAATTCTGAGATTTCATCTGCTCGGTAACCATGGCGACACATGCATTTCTTGGCATCTTCTCTTCAATTCCTTAGAGATACTATAAACCAATAGCATTATGTGTACAGCTTAACGAGGATTTAAATTGACGCAGAAAGATTCCTCCCAAAACATTTGGATATTCAGTGAATAATCATGAGGAAATTGATGTGAACCTAAAGCAAATTGTGTTTATTTAAGACTTCAGTTGAACCAAACTTATCTCGGAAACACCAAACAAAAAAGTTCCCCTAATCTAATTATGTATAACCAGAATATCACTGCCTACGGCACTTGAGTATTAACAGTTATGTAAACAAATGGAAATTTATTTCAATTATAAAATTATAAAATTTTAAAATAATCAAGTTAGAAATTGGTATTCCAGGGAATTATGAGTGTCAACTGGAAGAAAGCAAATGCACCAACGAGGGTTTATGTAAATCAATTAAGGTTTTCCTCGAATCTGCTTTTAACCTGTTTTCGTTCAGCCCCGAAGGCTATGTAAAATCCATGTCCTAAGCAAAATGTTAAAGCAAATTTTGAAATAAATTGACTATCTCATTAACATTTGCCATGACAATATGTGTATGCGGGGTTTAGTTTGCGTCATTCATTCTGAACATTAATTAGAATTTTCTGTTGAGAATGCACGTGTTTTTTGTTGTGTCGCATACGATGCACTCGGTGAATGTCTCCATTTTCCTTGCAGCTAGAATATTGTTAAATATCAAGGATTGTTATGGACGAGACGGAATCAGAATTATCGTAAATATAAAACCGCATTACTTCCCACAATAGACAAAATTTCCTGTCGGTGCTGACGTCGTTCAGATCGTGTTTCTATGGTGTCTGGAAAATTACGTCATAATAGTAGGCAGATGTGATCAGGCAAAATTTCTCATGCGAAAGACGCGTTTTCTTTGAGTAAACGATTAAGAATAGGCTTTATTCTCTTCTGGTGAATGAACTCTGCTGTCCGTTTTGTAAGCATACGATTACATACAGAAATTCTATATACACTGATATATGTATCCGTCTCAGAGTTCATGACAGGAGGAATAGTCTTCCATTCATCCGTTGTGCTTTTAATACATTATATTCTTCTCATCTCTACAGTCCTATTATCTTTATTTTTGAAATTACGAATATTTTTTTAATAAATAACTATGAAAAAAAACTAGAAAAATTCAGTATGTCAAAATAATTAAAATCCAAACGCTAGCTCAATAAAACTAGAGCAAAAATGAAGAAAAGGAAAATTTACACATAGAGACCCCTGATTAAGTACAATAATAAGACCAGGTGTTCCGGAAGAGTAAGTGTCGTCTGTTTATTATTATACGTCACTAAACGTTACTTACCTCTTATTTGATTGTCATTAAATTTTCAAACGGATAAATCTCATTTTATACATTTTATTGTCATTAGGGTAATCAAGTAACGTTAATAATGTTGATTTCATTTTTCCTCCGATTTAGCCAATTATAGATATATTATTGCCTTCATTATCCAGGCATTTTGAACGGTAGCAGAACAACATCAAACTCAACTAAAAGGTTTATGAGTTTTAATTTTCACATGTGATTGATCAGTCTGTGCTCGCGGTTACTGCAATAAGCGTGAAATTTTATACTTACTAAATATATATCCTTTGAAATATATGTTAAGCTCCTTCAATAGGTGACAAATTATATAAATTGTTGTACGTGTTTCCGCCGTAAGTCAGATTATCAGTATCAGTATATATCAGTAGATAGTAAATTATTTTAATCTGAAAACATAAACTAGATGACAAGCATTCGAACGCGGTCCTGATCAAGAGAACTTTTTTTTCCGTGATGATGGTTTTGTTGTTTTGATGTTTCTAGGGAACATGTCATAAAGATTTTGTCTCAGACAAGATGATTTTGTAATTTCATGTCTTGTAAAAAGCATGTCATTATATTGGACAGTCTATTTATATGATCATATCTGTTATGATGACGTCATCAGACAAACAAACAAACAAAAAAAAAACCGTCTTTAAATCATAACTCATTTCTAGTTGAGTACAAACGTATATTGTTTATCGATACGTAAATTTAAACAATTTGTGAACACAAGATAAATGAAAAACTTGGTGCGCGTTTTATATTCTCAAAACACGTTCACATTTCACAGATATATGCACTTTCAACTTATTGATCACTTTGATACTGTGTAACGAAAATATAATTCAATTTGACAACAGTCTTCAAAAACACGCTATTGAGGAGAAACCTCCTCTGCGAAAAGGAAGCGACAACGTAAAATCGAACGAAAGACTTTTTTTTTTTAATTTTTCAATTAGTGTAGGTACGATGACTACGATAAAATAAATTTCCGTCGAAATTTTCGAAAGATGTATGGCCTCAAAATGCCGACACAGCAATGTCCTCCCCAGATAACGGTCGGGAACCAATAGATCTCATTGATCGCCTGTCAACGTCTGTCTTGTCTCGACTGGGCCAATTCATTAGCGCTGATAAAGTATGGCCACACTTGTAGAGAGACGTGTCCTATAAAATCTATGGAGACCCTGAACTATCGTTTGATTTTAAAAGACGTGTAAATTGGTAGTCAAAAGTTATAGCTTCAGTCATTGTTCGTTTGGATGAAGTCCTGGGACAGTTGGAGATTTAAGATTTCTATGCAGGCAATGAAGTGTCGTGATTTTTAGCAAAATATATAAGGCAGCCCTGATATGACATCGGTTTTATAGAGGTAGGATTGTATGGAGGACCGAAGTGAAGTGTTATTGATCAAAATCCTGTCTCGAGTGTCCTTGATCGTCACAGACTGCTTTCATTGCCTGTTTTCTATTGAGAGCCCATGACATCCACAAAGCTGCCTTTACGATACAAAGTTGTTTTCCTCACCTTCATATATAGAGTCTATGACCTCAAAGATGCCCGAGTCCAAGGTCATTACAAAGTCAAGACCATGATCTTAAAAAAACTGTATGTCATTAACCTTTTCACTAAAAATGCCATTGACCTTCACGGAGCTGTGAGTCCACGACCTTCTAAAAACTTTAGCAATGACCTTCACAAATCTATGTCCTTTAGAAAACTGTATGTCCATGTCATATACAAATGTTTTCCATAACCTTTATGAAAAGTGTCCAAAACATTCCCACAACTTAGTTTCAATAATCTTCATAACCTTATGTGACAGTGACCTTCCTGACGCTGCACGTGTGATCTTCATAAATCTGTGTGTGACATCAGTGACGTTTATGTAATGGATATGTACAGTTTTATCTGCTAATGGGTGAACAGTTATCATTTTAACCTTACATTGATTTCATTTCATTGAGATGTCAAGAGTTTTGGCATTTATCCAAGTCTGCACTTTCCATCTTACATTTTTGTATTGGTGTAAAATCATGGAAGATGAAGTAGGAGTTCCGAAGTGAAAACAAATCTCAATATCATACGTGCATGTTCTTGGTACTTCTACAAAAATCTCTCGAGCACTGCTGCAGACCTGTCAGCAGATGCCATATTGACCGAGAGAAAAAAAATCCCTCCCAGTTTAATATGTTTCCAAGTAATTAACTGATGTCATACAAGGTATCCCCCTTTGGGGAATTTGTGATTGAGGCTCATTTAGGGGTAATTCAAAACAGAAAAACACACAAAACATATTTTTGTCAATGTGAACATGATATGGGCATATCAATGTATATAGTTTTAAGCTTAAAAAAGTTTAGCTTTTAAGAAAAATAAGCTTTTTTGCATATTAGTCTTTGAAATTTTCATTCCCTCAATGATGGCCCTATTTCCTTTTGTATCACTCCGCGTCATGTGACAACTGTGTAATTAGTCTCATATACTGTATATAGTGTGTGTCGTGTTATTCGTGAATTGAAGCTTAATAATTCGCCCTGACGGAATATGTTTGTGTATCGGACCCCAAGTTTCAAATACAAGGTAACGGTATCATGGCATCTTTACAGTATAACAAGACATCAAACTTCTAAGACTTTACACAAGTACAAATAATATATAAAAGTATTGTTGAACAATATAAGATTTGCATATGCCTGATATTATTTTGAAATAAAAAGAAGATAAAATTACCCGCAAGGCATTTCTACCTTCTTCGACTCAACTAGAATAAGTCCAAGAAAGTGGGTTTATTTTCTTCTAAATTTCCTTGATCTCTTTTCTTAAAAAAGATAGAAAAACACTGTTTCCGATATATGGAATCTAATTCTGATATGAACTCACATTTAACTTTAAACCATAATTTAAATAATTTGATTGTTCACCTACAGGCCAAGCCGAAGTCGACTGAGCCAAGCGATGATGAATGTTCCGAGATTGAGTACATCCCTCCGTCAAAACAGCATCAACAACAAACCAAGTTTATCATTCTGCACTACTCGCCTTTTAAGGCCGTTTGGGATTGGATAATTCTGTTTCTCGTCCTCTACACAGCCGTCCTTACTCCCTATGTTGTCTGCTTCCTACTAAATCAGGATGAGACTCGGATGAAGTTGAACCGTGACGCTGCCAGCCGGCTCCAAAACGCCGAGACGAGCAAAGCTGACCCTCTCGTGCTGATTGATCTAATTGTAGATTTGATGTTTATAGCTGATATTTTGATCAACTTCCGGACGACGTACTTACACGACGGTGAAGTTGTGGTGGATCCGCAGAAAATCGCCATAAACTACGTGAAAGGATGGTTTGTGATAGACACCATAGCTGCCATTCCATTCGATCTCTTATTATTTGGCTCCGGCAACTCTGACGTAAGTATGACGTAACCATGACGTAGGACTAATATTCACTTGGAAGTTAAACTGACGCACTTAATTTAAGGATTTTTTTTTCACATTAGCAACTATAGCTTTTTGCGGAATTAGAGTTGCTAAGTGGACAGTGACATGTTGTTGAATTAAAAAAGTTCAGAAAAATATTTAAATATTTCATATGTCTCAAACTTTAAGCCATATCTCATACTAAATAGCAAGTTTCGGAGGCATTATGAAAAAAAAACGATATTTCAAATATCATCAGAGAACTTATCTGTAATCTTGGAAATCTGTTGTTTATTAACGCCGTTTTTCGGGAATCCTTTATAAGATGTTAAGTTTTTCTTGTAAAGCTTCATTTTAATATCATTCGTCAATAAATAAAATTAACTTTTAAACAATTAAAAAAATGTTTGATACTTTCCAGACAATGACGATAACGGGCGTTCTAAAACTGGCTCGTTTACTCCGGTTACTGCGAGTACTGCGGCGTATAGAACAGTTTGCGGAGTACGGAGCGGCGGTACTCATGTTACTCATGGTGACCTTTTCTCTCATCGCTCATTGGCTAGCATGTGTGTTTTACGCCATAGCCTATGTAGAGCGACCACACCTTAAGGCCCGGATAAGCTGGCTTGACCATTTGGCGACTCAGTGCAATAAACCCTACCTTCCCAATGATACCATGAGTGGGCCGAGCATCCGGTCAAAGTATATAACGTCACTGTACTTCACATTTACAAGTCTGACCAGCATAGGATTCGGGAATGTGGCGCCAAATACAAACGCTGAGAAATTGTTTTCGATTTTCGCCATGTTGCTGGGATGTAAGTATAACTTCATTCAACATTATATGACATTTTGAAATTATTTTACAAAATAATAATACTCGTGTTCTCTTTCGTAACCCGTTCCCCGCTTAAATCTTAAACCTCCGAAATATTCCAGACCGGTTAATCTTCTGTCCTCCCTGCCATCATCCAAACGTGAGAAAGGCTTGTTGAAGGCACAAATACTTTCACATTAAGAAAAACATATGTTCTATTCCTAAAGATTTGTCGAAATGATATATTGTAACTACAGTAAAGGATTTTAAATTAAAATTTAATCGATTTCAATAAAGGAAATTACTTCTAAACAAATAGATAACAAAACTGTATTATCAACAGCGATATGATAAAACATTCATACTGACGGATAAGAGATTAAACACAGAAAGTTATGTAAGAAACGGGTCAAAGTTCGCACCGCGCACTTGTTAACATGGTAAATTAACGAAAGAGTAAGGTAGGTGGTAGCTTCAACTAATTATATTAACACCTGAATACAAATCAGTTTTATTTCATAGTTAATCTCTTTAATATTCGGGCTCAAAATAGTTCCTCTAAAAAAAGTATGTATCTTTGACCTCACTTGTCATTGATCGTTTGGAATCCCTCGTACTTTAACCGATTGATCAACGTCGCAAATCTAAGACCGGACGAAAACAGACATAAACTTTTCACAATGGCCATCTCGTCGGAAGCTCTCGCCTGTCATCCGATTGTTTAATGCTATGAATGATGCTTTTCACGTACATCACACAAACTGCAATCAGCTAGCCTTTCCTTCCGGGTGTCCGAAGACAAACATCAATCTTAATGATCACCACGTTCCAATCTTGAGTGATGTCTTTACTCCGTATTATTAAGTCGTTGATGCTAGTCGCGTGGTGTCATTTGTGTGTCCTAAACAAGGTTTTATTGCCACTACTGGTCAAGAATGGTCAAGCCATAGTAATGACCACTTGCTGTGACTGGCCGTTAATGAGTGTTCCTATAGGGGGTATCACTCCATTGTTTGATTCAACACTTCAGGATATTGCTCTGCCGCCTAATGTCAGTCGTCTGCTGGACATCAGGTCAACGTAACAAACTTGTAACTGTGTCAGATTTCCAGATAATATTATCTTCTTGTTCAAACATCTGTGATGGTAACCATTTTTTCATAAAACCTCCTGCATTTTGTTGAACGAACAGTTTAACAAGGTTATAAGATAAAATACATCAAATTTAATCTTTTTTTCCTCATTTCTTCTATCTCTTACAGCGTGGTAACACATTTTACCTATTTCTAAAAATAGAATTTTATTTGGGCTCAATTTACCTCTTTAAATATAAAATCTGATAAAAGAAAACTATCCAGTTAATGCTACAATGGAGGACTATTTTCTCCCGTAAAGATAATTAGGATTATTTAGCTCTGGATAGCAGAATATTGTCTTTTGTGATTTTATTTATTTATTTATTTATTTATTTATTTATTTATTTATTTGCGGTAAAACTAAGATAGTTTCGTATTCTTATGAACAAATGTAAAGATCTTTAATACATGTTTAAAGTAAGAAAGCAAATAAATACATGGATAAATAGATAAACAGATAGAAAATAAATAAATTCTGGCCATCTTCACATTGTCGAATGGTCTGTCAGCTGGTAGTGACTGGTCGATAAGGTCAACAGTGTCTATATCTTTATTGATTACCGGAAGAGAGAGAAGTCGATGTACATCCTACATTATGATTTATGTAAAACCACCTGATTGAAGGTCAAGTGTTCATTTATCTGTCCGGAACTGACCATAACACATATATCACTGAGAATAAATATCAATATTGACCATATAGACGGTCGAAGTGTGACTGCTAGATGGATGTGATTTTGATCTGATTCAATGTGATTCCGGATAACGCTTGACCGATGGTCAAGCTGGCTTGAACACTCAAAAGACAAATGTATTCCCCGCCAATTAATGATGCCTGGGATAAACTGTCCACCTGACGACATCAACACATTTCTCTTTTCGCTTGACCGTTATTTTACTAATGGATAAAAGAGTTTTTGTCCTCTGTTTATAAGTATACATCCTCACTATCAGAATTTTAATTTCAATAAATATTTTCAGTACCAGACTTTCACTTACACTCATGGAAACTATTCTCTGAATTATCATTTTACAATTATTGCTTAATGTTAAACCTAAAAACTTAACATGGCAGTATATTTTATTCTTGGGACAAGTGGTTCGGCTGCGGACTAAGTAAGAAAACAAAAAATTACCTCGGACATAATCGGTATATATCGGAAACTTTAAGTATTTGTCGTTAATCTTCGGGATTAGTCGTAGCTGATCCTCTATTCTCCTTCTCAGGAAGACTATTGGTTCTGTCCTCAACCTTAGGCTTTCTAGCTCATGAAAATGGTGCTTTCAGTATCTCGTGTTCCCTGTTTGTCTGTAAGCATTAAATGGGATTGTCGTCATTTCAGTGTGACGGCACTATAAGAATATGTATCACTGATCCTATCATCCATGCACATACAGGAATGTTAATCATGTATTGCCAAGCTACGATGGACATATTTAACGTTACGTGCATCGCGACAAATATCTGTGTGGAATGTGTTACAAGCTTCACACACAAACACAAAAAACGCTGACCCAATCACGTATAGAATTTTATGTCATTTATAAAACTCCATCTATACGACCCATTAATTGAGAACATGCAGCTTGTCGCAAGTGGAATTGTCTGTCAAATGAACGCACCAAACCATTGTGATCCTGACTTATAACGGAGATGTATTTTCATTCGTACCGGTTGTCTCCCGATCGTATTGGGCTCTTCTTTTATCTAGTAATAAAGCAAGGTCGGCCGGCTGGGCTTGTTGAAGATTGTTAAAGTGGTCTCGAGCTGGATGTGATCCTACGAGACTTATGCGCAAGTAGGTGACAGACGAGTTAAGACCCTTTTTATGACTGCTTTTTATTGCCGTTGATGTTTCCTCAAATGGATAATCAATTTTTCCTTCTCTCGATGACCGGCATCAAACCCGTTGTCTTTGTCTGAAGAGATTAAGAATGGTGGTTAGATAGGACAGCGGTTTGTTTATCTATCTATTTATTTACTTCGTTTTTTGTTTTTTGTTTTTTTTTTTTTATTATTTATTTTTGTTTTTTGTTTTGTTTTTGTTTTTGTTATAATTATCATTTTTTTTATTTTCCCTAAACAGCAAATACAGAATTACGTTTCTCAATAACCTAAGGGATACTACGATAGTTTTGTTTAGAAAAAGTATGTATTTCGTTAAATTGGACTCATGATACCATCGTTCCTTATGTAGACCGATTCCGAAATTTTCCATCATAAGCATTCTTTAACACTCATCCTCTGTGCTGTTTGAATTAACAGATCTAGGATTTTTATCATTCATTGTGTTCCCTAGTCGGTAATGTCATTTCAAACATTTCCAGAATTTTCGGTTGTCAGGAATTCTTAATTGAATAGCAGTTCGGTGTGATAGCGCTGTAAATCGGCATTGAATTGTTTCATCATTCATGGACATTCTCGTAACGATAAAAATATGCCTAATGTAGGGAGCCAGAAAGAACGAAAGAAAGAAAGAAAAATAGAAAGAAAGAAATCCACTTCTGTACACTAAACGCAATAGGAACATAACATAATGTCTTTCGAATCAATTAGAAAGAGAAAAATAGTCAAATAAATAAAAAATAAAAGAAGGAATGTTTGATTGTTTGATGAGCGTCCAATTTATTGCAAACAATCAAATATGTTGATTAACGTTTCCTATCAGAAGTTAGAAGAATGAGCTGAATCAGATTCTACACCACGACAGTTAATTATCCTGATGGGAAAACCTTGTGACAAAATTTTCAAAATTGAATCGAAAGTCATTAATAATACATAATGTTATCTTAAAATTTCTTTTCTGCCTCCTATTAGAAAAGCGTTACTCGTCAAGTGGCGACAACTATACAAAATGTTCATTATAATGTAAATAAGTTGGTTTGACAAATTTGTTTAGTCGCAACTCCTGTGCTTTTGCTAACTAAATACACTGCGTGGAAATTAACTAAAGCAAATGCATTTTACGAGGACCATAATTCATTTATGCGACAGAAACCGAAGCATGGTGGCAATTTTCTATTTAATCGTCAACTTTATTCGATTGAACAAAACGACAAGTAATGAGAAAATTCAACAATTGCAGCAACAAGTTTAGTTGAATGATTTAAACTTATGCTGGGGAGAAATATTCCGGAAAAATCAACTGGTTCAACCCTTACTTTATCAAAGCGAGTTAAGCTGATAACGGTTCTTCGCAATGCGTTTCCGATTTTAATCCACAGTTTCGTATTCACGACCACACTTCCGAAGACCCACAAATGCTGTTACGTATTTGTTATCGCGAGTTGAAGACAGTAATTACTATATAGGGATGCTAAATCGAGTTATTAATATAACAAGATGTGTTTTACCGAATAGTGAACACAATTTAGAGCCGCCATTTCGTTCATAGTGCTTCAAGTGCTTTTAAAGTTTATGGGAATTTTATAATATATGTCTTCGATGTCGAACAATTATGGTTCTGAAGAAAATCTCTTAATTTTTTATCCTGACCGAAATTGTGTTGTAATTCGCAGCAGACGTAGAAAATAGCTATTACACTACATGATGTTGATGTTGAGAAGAGTAAAGGCCATGTCAAGGAAATTATATTTTTTCGATATTTCCGGGTTTTTTCTTTGTTATTTTTTCAATTTTTGTTATTGTTGTTTTTTATATATATATATTACAATATAACACTAAAATACCATTCCCTAAGAAAAGAGAAGAAACCTCACCCCTCAGTCAATAGGAAGGGTTCAAACTAATTGCTCATGCAAGACATCATATTACAGACCTTTTTCTGTCATTCCAAAAACACTTTTAGTATATCCTATTTCATATATCAGTTTCGATAAAAACATTAAAAATCGTACAATAAGTATGGTGGTGTTATTCATGCAAAAATGAAAAGTGGCGATAGAAAAACTACGTACTGTAACTTTCAAACCTAAGACAAAGATGCATGCCATTCATATTTTTGTCGGAAGACAATGCAGCATAACCCATAATTCTCCTTAAGCGGTTCGAATTCTTAATCTGGAGTGTAATGTGTTGTTTTTAGGATAGTTTTCACGTTTAAATGCATGTATGTAGATCATCAGAAATTTACAGTCAGTTTAATTCGTCCCTCAAAGACATCTTCATTCTATCTTTTTTCTCTCTGATCTTTTCGGACATACCACACACTTTAGAAATTAAATATACACAAAACGAAACGATTGGAATTATCTAAGAGTGAAACAAATCTGGACAAGCCAATAGGAATTATAAAAATACATTGAATTCATTGTATATAGTAATGACTTAGATTGGTAAAGAAATATGAATCCGGTTTTAGAAATAGATTGCAAATTAAACATATCTCATTGTGGAGCGAAGCAAATAGCGAGCGGCAACAAAAGCTGGAATTGTCTTCACGGACAGTGAGACTAGATTTAAATACAATATACATATAATTAAACAGAGAACCAGAAACGGTCAATTTAATCCGGACCATTCTAAATGACAAAACTGACTGTCGGGAAACACCAGCAGACAATTTACAATCTTAGTCGCAATTTAAAAAAATCCAGAACTACCCTCGCTGACATTGCCTGCCTGGTAATGAACCGTACATGGCCACATCTCAATACTTCAAAGAATTTAATCAAAATGTCTCCGCTATTTTCCCCCGTCACTGTTTGGTTCGCCTTCGGAGAATAATCTCGATTTCGCGTGTTACGTGGTACCTCGATTTTATTACATTATTTCAATTAAATTTTGATCCGCATTTCTCTAGCTGAGAAATGTAAACGCCCGCAGCCATTATCCAAGTAATTCCGGCGAAGACACGAAGACCAAAAGACCTTTGATGCAAACATACGGTGATGTCGACAGCTATAGTAAGGTTTCAATGAGTGATGAACTTAACCGGGGGATACACGAGGTACCAAGGGGTTAGAAAATGTTATCTCTGATATTAGAAATCTTATTTTTTTGACGATCCTGTGCCAAGCCGTTGGTGTTGTTTGACAGGCAGTCATTGACAGATTGAAAACTATTAGATATTGCTTTCGGAGATATCAGTCTGATAGAAAATAGCTGATTAGTAGACTGTTGAGAATTGTGGATCAACTCCGGATTTACCGTAAAATATCGTCTGTTATCACATTTTGAAATAAAAAGTCTAACTTAGATGAAATGGAAAATATCTTCTACCTCATATTATGTCCAGTGAAAAAAATCACCATTTCTCCCATTGCGGTTGCAGTAACGAAGATGAGTATCATTATTTTTTTCATTTATTCGCAATTTTCAAATTCAAAAACAGCTCTAATTCTCTATCGGCGTTGGTATCCAGCAAGTTCCGCATGTGAAAATATGTGAAAATATTTTTAAATAATAATAATAACCAAAAGACCAAATAATACCTGAATTTCCAGAGCATATCGGATTTTTCTAAACATGAAACCAACAACGGACAATCACAGACGGAAACTAGGATCGTATGTTTAAGACATGTAAAGTGTAGTCTCGTGGACGTATTCGTGCGTATTAACAAAAAGAGCCGTTTTCATAGGATCAGGTGTCTTGGTGGGCAAGCCAATTCATTATTGGCTTGATTTCTTGCTTTCTATCAAATCCCTCAACATATAGACAACAAATTTATCTTATTTATCACGTCTGTGTCAGATTGAGTTTTAGTAGTAAGGAATAAAAGAAACACCCTGGTTAAGCTTCTTTTTTACTTTTTTCTCTGATTATGATACTCACAAGTTAAATCCAAATAAATAGACATCATGGCAAAAGTAAAGTCAGGAATACTAAAATTGCGGATTTTTGCGGAGCGTGATTAAGGAGGCGAATGCAGGAAAAATATATTCCAGATAATAATGAAACACATTAAAACGACCTTTGAGTTTGGTACCAATAGCTTTTGATAGCTGTTGGTATCTTTGGTGATTCTGTCTGTACTACTGATTGTAGTCTTTGTCCAGTTTATTAACATGGTGTTGCCATCCTTGGTTAGGTCTAGAAATCATTATCAAATCTTATAGTGTAACATTCCCCAAGTTTTCCAAGTGCCGCCATATTTGATACATTTTACACTGCTCATGATAATAAGTTCAAGCTTATGTTATATCACCATGCTTTGCTGAATGCCACCATATTTAATTCACAATAATTAATTCGGTATATCCCTCAAGTGCCGCTATATCTGATTCATGTTTCGCCTTTCGTCATTATTTCATCTAATTTCGTTTTGTTACACTCCCCAGCTCTACTGAGTGCCGCCATATTTGGAAACGTCTCTTCGATCATGTTACGTCTGTACCAAGGTTCGGATGAATACCAAGAAAAAGTTGAAAGCATTAAAGAATTTATCAACTTTCACCAGTTACCAAAAAACATGGCTGGTCGACTCCAGGAATCCTTCCAACACACATGGGCCTACACTAACGGTATTGACATGAGTAATGTAAGTACTACCTACCACAGTTATCTCCCCTGATAAAACATGACTCATTTTTCCTTTAGCAATAAAGATATTTCTTAAAACATTAATTCGGGAATTTTCTGCTCCAATCTTCATAATTAGTTTCGAACTTTGTTGATATATAGAAGTTCTACTCATAACTTCCGTCTTTTTTTGTTTTATCTAGTTTTCTTTCTAACACTTGATTGCTGACTACATCAATTGATTATTCTGTGTTTACTACGGTATAATAGCGTAATGTATGGGAAATGAGAAGAATGCCCTTCAGAATGTTGTTTCTCAAAAATGTTGTATCGATAATTTCCTCTTTCATTTCCTTATGTCACAGAAATAATGATGTACGAGAGAGACCAGCTAATCCTGTCTTTTCTCGAGAGACTTGATAAATTCCCTAATCGGGAACGTGAGTGATAACCGGAAAAGAACGTTTTTCTTTTCGTTACATAATTTTTTTACATACAGGTTTCCTGCGGATTATCAGTCAAATTAGTAATATCTAGCTCTGCTGCACATATCTCGTCCCCGCGAGACTAATTATAGAAGAATTCATCCTCACTCGATGTCAGATTCACGTGAAAGCTTAACCATACTCTGACTTATAGAACTCGGAAGACAAGCGTTTAGTTGAGACAGATAATTATTTGTTTTAATGGATCTTCTGATTCATTGATATTTAGGCAATAATCAAAACGCCGGTTTGGATTTTTTGGATTATTATTTATAGATTTATACGCATGGAACGATAACATTATGCATTAGCAAATGTAACTCATTTAGATCAACGAAAATTCTGTCGCGAAAATTTCAAAATAATTATACATCTATGTAAATGTTATTGATGACTGTGTTTTCCAAATGAACAATAGTATCGTTTTTTGTGATTTTGACAGGAAAATTTCTTTCAATTTAACTTATTCTTCAATTAGATACAAAAGAAACAGAAAAGTGATCATCCTCCATCGTGTTTTCGTTAACATTACGCTTTATCACGTGATCCCAGAGACAGATAATAACTGACGGAAGCCAAATGAATTGTAAATAAATAGGAAAAAGTACAATATAGTTTGAAAATAATATAATAAAATATTGATATTTGTATTTGTGACAACCCATAGTCATCAAAATATACCCTGATATACTGGTCAAGTTCCATTTTAATGGTAGTCATATTTTGGCGCATGAAACGTTTCGTTGACTTCGCTTACAGATGTTTCATACGTATTTTTTGACAATGAAATACAGAAGTCATCACTTCGATGTTGATAAAAGAAATGTTATATTTAACCAATAAGATGATGTCCTGTGTGAGTATTCCATGGAAACTGTGTGCTTTTACAAGCCTTTGCACTATTGAGGCACAAGTAAAATTAACACGATTTAACGCATTAACATATATTTTTACACAAGCTGTACATATCCATACAATCTTCCGCGGGTTGTTTATTTACTTTTGATTCACTTTTTTTATTTATATTTATCTTTAAGTTTAACGGCCATGATGTCCGCTCGCATGGCCTTTCAGATGAAGATAAAAGATAGGAAAAGTCAGTTGAAGGAAGAAAACATTAAGTGAAAGAAAAAAAATGTGAGAAATGAATGTAATAGAGGTAGAGTCTACTGTTCCTATGACCTGCATATAACGTTTAACAGGTCGCACCTGCTGGACTAATAAATCATCCGAATTCGTCAAAACTCGGATGATTTAGTTCACAATCATCCTTAATTAAACGAAATCTCAACTGCCACAAAAAAGCATTACGTCCGCGAAGGAAAAACTTCACTTATGTAAGGTTTTCCTATGGATAATTTTAAGTTAAGAAAAATTCTTTAAACTAAGGATGATTCATGAAACTGGGGCCTCAGCGTCTGTCACATACAATCAAATGAAGAGTCTAGCACCTTTCAGTGCAAAATGTACCGAATAAGCTTACTATCATAATTAAAACTGCGTAAGATATTTATTTTGCTTCGTATTTAATTAGACACTGCTATTTTTATTTCTTATCAGGTTTTGAAAAATTTCCCCGACTGTCTACAATCAGACATCTGTCTTCACCTCAATAGAAATCTTCTCAACAACTGTCCGGCGTTCAAGGGAGCTAATCCAGGTAGGAACTCGCTGAACGATATTTCCTATCTCACTTTTATCAGACCACAAAATTTACAATGATGGTTGGTACATTTTTTATCCCGATTAATTCTAGGAATCTAGCAGCTATACTTTGGGCCGGCGGTACGCTGGGAGGGAGTGGTGGTGGGGTGGGGGTGTGGGGGTGGGGAGGGGGGGGTGGTGGATTGATTAATTGTAATTCAGTTTTATCTTTGGAACATTTTATGTAAGCTTTAATAACAGTGTACATCCCTACCACCTGGTTTGAAAAGTAGCTTTCTTGCCAAACCTCAATGACATTTGTGTTTTTTACTTTTTTTTGCACTTTTTGAAATATCAACGAACACTGGAATGTGACTTATATGTCTTTTGATTTATTCATGACGTTCTGTATCAAACCTGAGTCTTACATCTTTTTCAGGCTGTCTTCGTGCCTTATCTATGAAGTTTAAAACTACGCATGCGCCACCCGGGGACACACTCATACATCCGGGTGATATTTTGACGGCTATCTACTTTATAGCACGTGGATCCATAGAGATTTTAAAAGAAAACACGGTCATGGCAATATTAGGTAAGACTTATCTTACCTTACGGTAAAAATGTCGCTGGACATGTTTTTTGCGGAATGAAATGTACAGTGAATATCTGTAAATTAGGATTGGTTACTGTAAAATTATATATTTTCGTGAAAATCAAATTTTACGGTTTTTTAAAAATATGCATTTTGATCGGTACGTGATATCATGGATAAATCTCCTTTTATTCACTATTATTATATATAATCCACGTCAACATTTATTTGCTTAACATTTCGTGGATTAAGCGTTCCCATGGATTAACGAAAATAAACCTACCACGAAAATTAATGATTTTATAGATAATAGGAACACCAAAAAGGAAAGAAAGCAATACCACACTGATAACTGTATGGAACTGCTAAAACACTTAATAACATTCATTAATACCAAGGATAATCATTTCCTACAAGGGAGCTGTTTTTACGATTTCACTGCAGCCATCTTTTAATCAAAACCTTAAATAGGCTTTCTGAAATATGAAAGATTCATATATCTTTAAAAGTTAAATCAACAAGAGCACGAAGTTTGAGAATGTTGTCGCAATATATTGGCTGTATTTATCAGATTGAATTCCAGAATCCAGAATCCCTTGTAACGTTAGAAACATCAGAACTCTCATGCGACAATGTTTAATGATACAGAGAGATAACTTGCCAATTATTTGTATTCGTGGTTATTGTTCTCACCAATCAATAAATGTCGCATTCCTAATCAATTCCTGTTACATTTTTTTTTAGTAAAATGTATTTTCAATTTCCAGCTACTCACTGACAGGAAAATATTCGATATGGTACAAACAAGAAATACATGGAATGTAATGGAATTGACGCGATGTGTGGATAGGCAAATAAAAAATCGGACGCAATGTTGAAGTTTTACCGTAAGGCGAATTACCATATCAAGTATACACTGTATAAACGAGAGGCATTATATCGAGGTTACAATGTATAAACGAGAGGCATAATATCAAGGTTACAGTGAATAAACGAGGGGCATTATATCAAGGTTACAATAAATAAACGAGGGGCATAATATCAAGGTTACAGTGAATAAACGAGGGGCATTATATCAAGGTTACAATAAATAAACGAGGGGCATTATATCAAGGTTACAATAAATAAACGAGGGGCATTATATCGAGGTTACAATGAATAAACGAGGGGCATTATATCAAGGTTACAATGAATAAACGAGGGGCATTATATCGAGGTAACAATATATAAACGAGGGGCATAATATCGAGGTTACAATGAATAAACGAGGGACATTATATCCAGGTAACAATATATAAACGAGGGTCATTATATCAAGATTACACTGTATAAAGGAGATGTGTTATAAAAGGTAACATTGTATTAACGATATACAGTTTATATCGAGGTTACACTGTAGGACTATAGGCGTTATATCGAGGTTACACTGTAGGACTAGAGGCGTTATATCGAGGTTACACTGTAGGACTAGAGGCGTTATATCGGGGTTACACTGTAGGATGAGAGGCGTTATATCGAGGTTACACCGTAGGACGAGATGCGTTTACCGAGGTTACTCTGTAGGACTAGAGGCGTTATATCGAGGGTACACTGTAAGACGAGAGGCGTTATATCGATGTTACACTGTAGGACGAGAGGCGTTATATCGAGGTTACACCGTAGGACGAGATGCGTTTACCGAGTTTACTCTGTAGGACTAGAGGCGTTATATCGAGGGTACACTGTAAGACGAGAGGCGTTATATCGATGTTACATTGTAGGACGAGAGGCGTTATACCGAGGTTACTCTGTAGGACTAGAGGCGTTGTATCGAGGTTACACTGTAGGACGAGAGGCGGTATATCGAGGTTACACTTTAGGACGAGAGGCGTTATATCGAGGTTACACTCTAGGACGAGAGACTTTATATCGAGGTTACACTGTAGGACGAGGGGCGTTATACCGAAGTTACTCTGTAGGACGAGAGGCGTTATATCGAGGTTACACTGTTAACGCTTTGTTTTGTATGGAGGTCATATTCATGTTTAATTGTGATAGTATACAAAACTTCTGTGTTGACTAAATGTTGGTTGAAGTTGATCACATTTATGTTGTGATATATTAAATAAAATCTCTGTTTTGTGATGGCCAGGTAAGGACGATATATTTGGAGCTGACATGAAGGACACAGCTACCCCTGGCAAGTCACTGTATTTCGTACGAGCTCTGTCATACTGTGATATCAACAAAATTGAGATGGAGGATTTAAAGGTGGTTCTACAGACATACACAGACTTCACAAAAGAGTTTATGGAAAAGTTTCAAGTCACGTTCGACCTGAAAAAGGTAAATAAAACACTATCAACATTAAGTTATTACAAAGAGAAAGCCGAAAAGGTGGGCGTGACTTTCCAGTTTCGGATTTCCCAATGCGCTATATTTAGACGGTTTGGCTGGGGGTATTCCCCACCAATTTTGCCAGTCCAAACTGACCACATCATAGATATTTTGATGCTTATAATAGTTTTAAAAATCATGAGTTTTTAAACGATATAGGACAGCAAAGGAGAGATAACAAGCAACAATGAGTAAAAAATATGTAAATATCAAACATTATAAAATATAGACATTAAAAATCAAAACCTTGGAATAAAAATCACCTCAAATACTGTTGAAAAATCATTAAATGATTCAGAGAGAAAACGTTACTGACGAACACGTCCTTTAAGCTCTGTAGAGCAGTTCTATGAAATAAAATCATGAGAAATTTAAATGAAATTTAGATTTCTGAAGTTGTGGGAACATTCATGAATCTTGGCTGTGAAACAGTACATATGAATTTTGTACTATCGCTGCCGTCCTTTTTACTTGCAAACTTTGTTAGGAATCAACGAATATCCTATAAAAAAGAGAGTCTGTTTCCGTCCTGTGAAAGTCTGGTTATCCTTAGGAAGGCAATTTACGATAAAGGCATGTGAACACACGGGAATTTATATATTCTTTTAAATTTTAATTGTATTGGAAAAGTTCTGTAGAAAATAAAATACATACTGTCAATATTTAGACGTTCACTGTTTTGCGTTAGACCATCAGCTGCCGGAAAGGTTACAGTAAAGAAGTTGTTTTGAATTAAGCAAATATTTTTTATATAGTTAAAGAAAGATGCCAGGCCGGCGTCAGAGTAAACTCAGTTATGTTGGATCCCCGGGTATACCTCCAATGCCTGAACACGCGCTTATTGTGTTTTAAAATGAAATTACACACATATTAGAATCACGTAATCGATGTGTACATCACAACGCCGTAGTTTCGTATGACAATTACACAGAAATCTTGTCCTTCCGTTTTACAGACATGGTTTCGAATTAAATTTACTAACATTTCCCTCTCGGTATTCGATATGAAAACAAGTGTACATTGAATCAAATTGATCTGGATGGAAACGGAAATGTAATCGTGGTGCTTTAGTAACAGATGTCAGCAACTATTACATGTCTTGCGTCCACGAAAACATGCAAATGGAGGAAATGTGAAATGAGATATGCTAAAGGATTACCTGAAATCTTTAACATCCAGACTGAAAGGAAATCGAATCTGCTGCTGTCACCGAGAGGCCATAGAAAGGGTTTCATTTTATCACTATCTTCTTTTTTGTAAAGATAAAGTATCTCTCGATGTCTTAGCAAAATCGTAATTCTTATTCCAAATTTGTGAAGTCAGGGCGGGTGAAGCATAGAGAAAGAACGATTTGTAAGGAGGCATGCAACAAAGTACCCGGATTTCCTTATATAAGTCATGCCTTCCCCATTAGCGACACCTGCCGTGTAAATCTAAAACCAAATTTCACTAACTGAAAATGAAAATATCTAAAATTACGTTCCTTTGGTTGTCAATTACAGAATGTGTTCGTTGATAGTTAGTGTTGTTTAATGGTTCATTTCTTACACATTCAGTTTTTACCATTGTCGGCGATTGTAAGGGGTCTCCTGCCCGACCAGGTAGATATTCCTAGCGCCCATCCAGCCGAGCCTATGTCATTTTATACAACTCATTTGAAATAATAGCATTTATAGTTTGACGAAAGTTTACCTTTCTATCAAATTATTACTTCATTAGAAATGTAAAGAAAGGAATTGTAAAACGATAATATATTATTTGTATAATATCATATTACAGGTATAATTCTATATTACATATTGAATTAATGTTTGAAAACCTTTTCTATGTCAATTAAGGAATTACACATCTATGAAAATATACATTTAAAATATATATGTATGTGCTAAAACATTTCTGTTTGGCTTCTTTATTCCATGTTACAGATGAAACTCTATCAGTATCGTGTATGACGTAAATATCACGTGACTGTTCTATAGCGTCAAGCCAATGTAATTAATTCTCGTACATATGGCTAATTTGATGAGAGCGAAGACTTCGTCAGACAAATCAATAGATGTTGAATAACCTCCGAAACGTTATTCCGTGACAATGACTATCGGATCATATATAACATGTACGGCACCGTTATGTGCATTTCTCTGTAAAAGATCTTCTAACAATTTGATGAATGTTCATTCCGGAAGAATTCTTAATGGAAAAAGTGAGTTAAAGAATGATTTCTCAACAGTCAAAATTTCGTTAAAATAAAATTAGATGTGTAAAGCATCGCGTGAGTTGTGAGCATGGTTTCAAGAAACATTTCGCATCGTTATAGAATTTGATTAAGCAAAGAAAGTTAAAATAATATTCAAATTTTATAATTTTAAAAACAACGGTTGGAATGTAGAAAGGGTCAGGTTTTATGTATTGTCTAAGATTTTATTTCCAAATGTAAAGTTGATAATAAAATTCGCTTTAAACAGAAATTTTCTATCTACCATTTATCATCATGTATTTCAAACTTGGCGCATGTGTGGCATTTTATTGCCGTGGCGATGTGGAAATCCGTTAACGATCTCCGGAAGCATCATGTTCTCCACATAATTCACGTCCCATATTCCAAACAATTTGGTACTGGTACATATACAATATGAAACTGCTAAAGATAATATACTCGAATTCAATTCCAAGATTTACAACACGATGAATAAAATCTCGATCACATTTTGGTCAGCCTTAAGTGGTAGTCAGATGTGGGAAAGGGGGTGGGGAAGAGCTAGACCTGGACAATAGGGAGATAGAAGGGTTTATAGCATCACTCCAGCATAGCTTCCAACTAGATTACTCAAACGGCATTTTTCCGCGGAGATTCTCTTTGATTTAAGGGTGCACCTACTACAGTCGCCCAGCGTAATAAGATCCATAGATTTTGGTTCAATAGAGTAGGATATCGATGTGAATATTTCCTGTACTGACCCAAAATTGGTCGCCATAACCTTCTTCATGGACATTGTGGTATGGAAAGTCTGTGTCTTTGTAATTGTTGTCATTGAGTCGATTCCGAGTTTTCATCTTTGTTAACTTCCTTAAAATGAAAATCATCTAGGTTGACGCTGTGTCGAGGTAGCTAGGCACCACTTGTGGTGATTCCCGATTGCTACATGACGTCTGAAAGCATTCTTATAACGTACCTTGCACATGCCTTGGAGTGTAGTTTGCCTTGAAGTGTGTCGTGTTTTGATAAATATGAAAGAACAGATGTTTCTACTTACTTATCGACAGTATTACGTTACGCCTTTTTCCATCACCGGTTTGTAGAGAGTGTCAATAATTTCAGTACTACTTGGTAACCGTCCTTATCAGGAGCCACCTTCTTGACTTTCTCTGTGGAATCCTTCACTTAGCGTTTGATATTTACCGCAGAAAGGGAATATTCCATATAAACGATATTTAATCACTCTTCAAACTTTGTGATCCTCCCTTCAGGACTTGAACAAGCTCAGCTTAGTTCATCTTACCACTCACTCGAAATATCTCTATCGAGTGAATCAAAATGTGTAGCTACGACAAAGATGCGGGTTTGGTGTGGCGCATTTTACCACTGTACAGGAAAAAAATAAGTGAGACTCAAAAATGTTTGAAATGTTATCGTAGTCTGTATATGGCATATACAGTGGAAACATCAACAGGCAGATATATATATTTTTTTCATACATGTCTGTTAGAAAAACATAGGGCCAAGGACACTTCCATGTAGGATCCCATTGTTAACAATTTTAAGTTCGACAGTCCCGAATGTATTGACCACATCTGTATAGTATCATACATTTCTATCATGTCTCTCCACAGCGGTATGTCCAAAAAGCTATGAGATTGAATTTAATCTCTTTATTTACTCAAAATGCATTTCTTCAAAAAAAGTTCAGCTCAATAATATAGACCTGGAATACAACTTTCGATTTCCTTTCACTCGTATTTCTTAATCTCTCACTCTGTGGCACGTTAACATAATGTTATATATTCATTATATATGGGAACTATTTTTCAGGGCACATTACTCCAATGTAAGAGCAAGCCAAAGATGGAAGACGAGACGTTGAGATTCATCCGCCAAAAACGGCCAAGGTTACAGTGTAAGCGTCGCCGGATGGACGGACATGGTATTCATTTTTGCACTGATGGTGCTATTTTTTTGTAATATAAACTGACCGTCATCAAGCTGAGGATGAATGCTTATGTTTGCAGTTACCAATATATTGACTATCAAATGTATTCGTTATTGACATCGTCGTGATTCTCAAGGATGTATGAAGCTTAGATTCCAAAACTTTCAAAAAATTCAAATTGACCAAGACGTTAACTATGCTGTCGCAAAATGAATTCAAGTAGAAGATCTGAAAACATTCATATAAGGCACTTCACTGTAGGTTTTAAGCTCAACCATATATAACAAATATGTATAAAATGCAGAAGTATATGATATAATGTCTACAACTTTTTATATCATATTTCAAGTCAAGCATGACATTCATACATCTTTACGATACAACTCAATGGGTACAGTTATGACGTCATAGGGAATTTAATTTACAAGATGTTTAAGAAAATGTCTATAAAAATAAATGGAGGGGGTTCGTTTATTGATTTACCAACAATTTGGCAAATCAGGAAATCAGAATATAAGAGGTTAGTTCAATAGTTTCGTATAAATGTATAGATAACTAATGGACGGGGTTCTTCTTTTCTCTTCGTCTTCTTCATTACCGGGTCTATATTAACACTTTCTAAAGGAATATAACATATCAATTCCATGATGTTCACATTTTTAAGATCATTAAAATTGAAACGGACAAAATGTAGTCAAGAAAAAAGTTTTATCCAGATGTAGACGTAATAAAAGCCCTAAAGGACAAAATGAATTTCACTCCAGAAACACCTCAGTTAAGATCTCTCTATCTGGTCTAAAATGTTTTACCCAGACGACGGAACTAATTGAACTTCGTATATTGTTTGTGTTGTCTATGCTTGGGACCATCAGCAGATGCTTACCGGAAGTAACCTGATGGACAGGTCGTACCGGTATTGAATCAATCAGTCCAAATCAATTAACAGACTCTGTTAGTTTCCGGCAGAGACACGGTTGCTGATAATGCCGGAACGTTTTCGAAACATTCCGGAAGTTTGTGAAATTATTACGGGAAGTGGTCCAATTCATGTTCTGTGTCCAATTGAAAACCGTAATACATAATATCAGTTGTTCCATTGATTTGTGCTCATTACTGGCACCTCCAAGCATCCACTGCGTACAACAATAAACGTAAACCGGAAATTCAGCATATAATTTCCGGAAATGACGCGAAAAGGAACGGACATTCTGTGATATATTGAGCATTAGGAAAAAGTGTAGAAGGCTGTATGTAATTGATTTTTAACAGGGCGATCTAGTTTCCAAAGGAGGCATGGTGATAGAAAAATTGGAACTTTAGCGGAAAACTCAGGAAGTGACGACGAAAGGCCCGGAATTGTTGAGATGTCGGCAGAAGGTGCTATTGATGACGATGTCGATGCAACTGAACATGAAGTTACAAGGAAAAACTCCATGGGGTCAATTGCAGGTGCTTGAGATTTTGAGACTATTTTGTTATCTGAATTTGTCTTAAATAATTACCAAAATATTTGTCAGGTTATCGCATAAGAATGTACAATTCATTTAATATTGAATAACAAAGTAGAAAATTTGATACGTTTACTATAATCATTAGCAACATCAAACTGAAATTAAAAACCTTCGTAAATGACAATAGCGAGCTGTAACCATACAAAATCAATGTCATTTTATTAACAAAAACACACTGCAGCACCTTGTACCAGTAAATCCGTATATGATAAATAAAAAATGGAGGTAGAGTTATAATAAATGGCAAAGATTTCAACAAAAGAATTCAATAAAAGCGAAATAAAAACCCACCAAAAATCACAAAATACAAAATTATCCAAAACAGGGCGTTCCTTGGTGGATCGGAATTTTTTTTTTTTTTTTTTTTTTTAAATATTTTAATATTTAATATTTTCTTCTGGTTACTTCAGTGATGACGAATTTCTTCAACGCGGTAGCATCCAAAGCTAGAAAGGAAAAAGGAAAACGATCCATACTGCAACGACCACACGGTTACGCTCCAAAATATGACGTCACATCGAACGGGCTAGCGTCACAGCACCAAGGCTTATCACCAATTGAGTCTAGTGTGACGTCATATACTCCAAAGTCGCTGTCTAGTTCAGGACCACAATGGAGATTTTCTAACATCGATTTTGAGATCCAGCAACATCCTGAAAAGGGCAACTTACAAAGCCTGAATGACATCGACAACCGACTTGAGGGTCTGCACGAGTAAGTAGCAGTTGGCATTGAAGTTTTTAATCTCAAAACACATTTCTAAATGTTCACTATTATTCAAGAAAGTATAACCCAACAAAAGAAAATCAAGGTTATGCAATATAACACATTATGATTTAGAAATGTATTGTTGTCTGCTAGGGAATATTTGTAGCTCGTTAATAGCAGATGAACATTAAAGCTGCAAGCATGGCGAGGCCACTCAATAATGTTTCCAATAAGGGTTTCAGAAAGAAGTCGTGTCATTAGTAACGAGGGATAAACTAATTCTGTGGAGCATACCGATACAGAATATCTTGTTAACGACTTGATTAGATTTAAACTTAATTTTGTTTCATCCAGTGTCGAAATTTTCCTTAATAACAGCAAAAACTTGCTTTATGAATGCAAATAAATGAAAATATTGGTAATTAATGACTAAGAAAAAAACGAAACTATTAAATGAATGAGGGTTTATTTGGAAATAACATCTGGCTGAAACCTAATAATACTAGCTTTATGATTGTGTATGATTATCGGAAGGTATGAACGATCTGTTTACGCATTTGCCGCGCTCTCCTTTATCGTACCAAAACAATCAAGAAAATATCAATATGTAAACATAATAATCAAAATCATAATCCAAACACAGATTCAGATTCAGTAAAACTAGGGCAATATGAACAACAGAAATGTTTACACGAAGACTCTAGATGAACGGAGAATGCCAGTAGTTCCGGATGAGTAAGCGTCTTCTGTTTTGTCAACATCAAAATCATCAAGAAAATACCAACATGACAACATTATTCAAACTCAAATTAAATAAAACTTGGGCAAAATATGAACAAAAGAATGATTTACACGGGCCTCATGTACAATGAGTATAAAACCCGGTGTTCCGGAAGAGTTAGTTTCTTCTGCTTCATCAACGACAGTTGCCATGTAAACTTTGGTCAATCCAATTGAACAATCTCAAATGAGAGCCAGGTATACAACAACCAAACCAACAGGCAATCTAACGAGCATCAGCTTCATGTCGCACAACGAAATAGAATATTTCTCAATGAGATCACTATGGCGACTATAAAACTTCCCCATAATTTTCATCAACCTCTATCTTTTGAACCCTTGTGTTACGAGTTTTTCAGTCAGTTGTCGCCTTTTTTGCACGAAAATCGTGATAATGGGAACAGGTCCTAGAATATCGAATCAACTTTGACATGTAAATATCATAGGTTGGAGATGCAGTGATATTGCTATCCAGAAATGGAAAATTCACGATAGGGAAAATGAAATCATCACGTTTATCATACAGCTTGATGAAAAGGTGTCGATGTTGGTTTCGTTTAAAGTGTGGAATAGCATGTATTGAAACTCTATTTTTGCAAATATCACTCACACAATTGAATCTCAAATCAAGGATATATACCTTATATCAAAAACAGCAAGAAACAAGTGAGCATAATCATAATCCAATCTCATGTTCAATTAAGCTAGCGCAAATAATTATGATCTTAAGTCAGTTTAAATCGACAACTCTTGAAAACGTCCAAGGAGAATTAGACCGTAAAATATTAAGTCCTCTAATCCGAAAGTGTAATGAAATATGTTAGAAAACGTCATGTGATCATTTTCTTTTGTTGACATAATGTTTACATTTTTTATGTTTCTATGTCACGTATATTATAATTTGTGTTATTATGTATTTCAGACGAATGAACAATTTTGAAAACGAACTATTTAATACTGTTGACGCCATCTTAGATATACTGGGTCACAAGCCAACTTGTACAAGGGACACTGTGGACCAATCCACGTCCAGTTCTACTCAGATAAAAACAATAGACCGCCCTCCACGTCCTAAGGGTGCAAGGCTGATAAAGAATGCCACGGAACTACAAAGAGTGATCGAAAATATGTGATATGACGTCACAACATCCGGTGATGTGAAATGTTGAATAGTTGTTTCAATGTGCTTAAGGAACAAAGGTTGCGAGCCTGTTCCTAAAACAGCAGTGGGTCGTAAGCGACCTATATTGTGTTCTTCGATTTTTACTTGGAACAAATGGAAGTTTAAACGACAAATATTGATTTTGGTAAAGGCATGATTAATTGTCACATGCGAGACGGTCGAGCATGTCGTTCAATCATGATTCATAATTCGGATGTAGACAAACTATTCCTCAGCGATTTCAAGGTCGACGTAGAAGGACCGGAAACTCTTAAAAGGAATTATTCAATGTTATGATATGAGTAAACAACATGCAGATGATATACACTATGTTTCTTTCTGACTGGGAAAATAATAATAAAAAAACCGGACACGTAAATGTTTTGATGATGCTTGTGAAATAGTTTAGCAGTGTAAATATGTTATAATGTCAAACAATCTAACGATGTATTGGTATTATAACGTTCTGTCTTAAGGAGTTTCAAGTTATATTGAATTAAAAGCATCATAGATTAGTATAGATCCGACTTTCAAGAGAAATTATAACAAGGGGCATCATATATATTATGAATTTTAAAACAATGTTGATATGTTGACGCACAACTTTTTTGTTTTAACACACGACGTCAGAGGAAAACAATATCGACCTAAGTCGTGTAATACATTATTTCTGTGAGTTTTTATAACAAAATTGTCAACTTATGTTAGTGAGAATATACGAGATATATTTGTTCAGTATATATAACATTGCGTGTTAGATACTGCAACAAAATCAAACGAAGAAAAATTACACAAAACGCGTATTTATGTAGATAATATAATATATACATACAATATTTAAACTGTAGTCTATCCAGTGCAGTGTAAACGTCCAGCAGATCAGTCCATTTAATCAATCATGGTTAATATGATGTTTCTTTGTCTACATAATGCCTCGCTAGAAGCCATGAAACCGCCCTGTTAGATATGGACATGCAGTTTTAGGAAAAGCATTATGGGTAAAGAAAAGTGTCACAACAGTGGCTGCATGTTATGCGTTTTCATTAATTCATCCCTGATACGGTGTGAAGCAATAAGACGAGATTAAATATTAGAGGTGTGTTTGTCCATCAGTACACGTCCCGCATGTCTTTAAGTGAGTGATTTGATTTTATGTGTGTTTTTGTGAAGTATAGAGATATATATACAGTCGAACCTAGTTATCTCGAATTCGGCGGGATCTTGGAAAGACTTCGAGTTAGCCGAGTGTTCGAGTAAAGTGAGTTCGGTTGTTTCGTATAAGTAAAGCAGGGACCGATGAATGCTTCGAGTTATACATGTTAGAGATAACGAGGTTCCATCCATTATATATATATATTTACAGAATATCTCAACGATGGACTGAACAAATAAGTTTTGACAAAGATGTTCGCCAAACGTGCAAATATTTATTACTCTTTAATACTATGGAGAAAGGGTTTGACATCAACACCGTCACATCGTTAGTGTCACATTCACAAATTGTATGGAACACACCAAACCCTTAAGAGATCAATGTATTGTCGAAAGATTACAATAAGCATTTGTATTTAATTATAGAAAAATATAGTCGACAAAACACATTGCTTTCCTGATCGGGAAAACACAATCCTTTTGGAAATAAAAATATCACTTTATAGAGATATTAGATTTTAAGTCATCATTACGTGTTGTTACATAATAGATCATATTTTGATTCGATGGCATAATCATTCCTGTGCGATTGTTACTTTTAACGTTATAATTATGACGTAATGATGACGTAGGTTGTTTATGTGCATTTACTGTCGTTATTATTCAATGTCGATAGTTTTTGTCTGTGATATACATAGCAAGGTGACTCCTGGCCTAAACCATGTTGATGACATCATTTTGATAGTGATGTCATAAAGAAATCATTCCATGTTATGTCGTGAACAATAACCATTAAAATATAGCATTTGTTTTCTTTTATTGACGAATATTTCCGGCAATATGCATCAATCGCGTACACTTCTATCATTGATATTATTATTGGTCTTGTTTATTTGTATCAAATCTATATCTCATTGTTTAGTTGCACATTTATATGTGACCTGTTGCTATCACGTATGAAGAGATCGAAAATTTGTATTGTTCTGTACTGGTGTATTTTTCTGTATTTTTTATCATGTTAAAACATTGATTACTAATAAGTGTAGTCAAATCATATCTTTTTCTGTTTTTTTTTTTTTTTTTTTTATTTTTCGTGTTACAGATTTAGTGTAATAAATAACAAACTAATTCCATAGCAATATCAGTATTGGAAGAAAAAACATACAAAATGATGAATTCGTTCTTTCGCAATAAACGCTACATGGACTACATACACAAACTATATTTAGCACAGTCATATTTTAGCGTTGTATACCTAGCGCGAAAAGCGATACAATCATATAACACCTTAGATAGGTACGTAAACAGTGTTACGGTGTTCACATTCTGTAATATGATCTATTACATCACAATATTGAGTTTAGATATAGCATTTCCATATTTGTGTGTGAGATCTGAGTGACAATCACGCTTGTTTTTTAAACAGTATTTTCAAACATCGATAAAACATTTACACGTGCCAGAATTTGGCGCCATTTGAGTTATGAATATGAACAGATGAATAATAGCTAGGAATACCATTGTAGTGTTGATGTGAAATAACTTTCACATGCTTGTCATGTTCATCGAATATTTCAGTAAGTTCTCTCAGTATGTTGTGAGGTATTAAAAAGACATATAATGATATAAGTTAAGCTTGGAAATAAGTTTTTAACAACAGAAGGGACCAAGGAATTGATGAAATATTGATAAATTTAGACATTGGCAGGCGGTGTATTACAATTTTGGATCATGTTTTTGTAAATATACATATACTCCACATCTATACCACCGTCCAATCACATTAAATTAGATATAATTACGTTACGTGTGTGTTGAGTTTGAACTGTTAGTTTTGTATATTGATTTGTGTGTTTAATGTACATATTGTTTATGAAGACACTAAGATTGCAGTTGTGTGCAATTATGTACATTGTGAAGAAAAAATGTAGAAAAGTATTAGCCAAGTATCATAACAATGAAATTTGATTGTACGGATAAAAAAACTGAGTACAACAGAAACAACTGCTAAATTTGAGATTTCATTGTTATAGCTCTCATATTGTAAGTATCGCCTGTCTGTGTACGTAGCAACTGTAGTTGTATTGGGTGAAGTCTTACTAAATTGGTCGTGACTTTCCGTAATATATCGGAAGATTCCGCAATATTTCGTCTATTTCCGACAAAATGGCGACAAAATATATTAACGACAATTAGTTTGTGACGTTTTGTTTACTGCTGGCCGCTACATATTGTTGTTGTAAATTCAACTGATGCTGAATTAGTAAAACATCGAATAGTTGACAAACAAAAGGAAACCAATAAAAGAAATGTAAACATAGAATGCATACTGTCTTTATTTACCCTATTTATTTTGTTTACTCATTTTTCTGCTTTTGGTAAAATTTCGATGCTTTATATTCAGAATTTAGGTATATGACAATAAAGCTAGCACCAATTATATTTCTGTAATACAAACAAAATATTAACACATTTTCTACAAAAAATACCACATTGTTTTGCATCGTTTCCCGGTCTCACGTCAAGATATCATAAGTGATTTAAGGATATTTTGTACATTCTATATGCTATTAGTCTAAAGAATCATTATACATTACAGACGAAATTTCTTACAGAAACATGTAAAAACGAACGAAATATACAGTTTTTACACTTCAAAATAACGAGACATACAGATAGGCAAACTGCTGTTCATAACTAGATCTTTTTAAAGTCTGGAATATTTCGACTTCGTTGAAATATCATTACAGAAACTACTGTACGACAAAAGTCTGGATATCCAGTTGTTCACACATAACTTTCCATGGTTCAGTATGCAGCTTCTGAACCTAGTTCGTTATGGAAACCAGAAGACATTTTGTATTGATATGCGTTGGTGCATGTCTATGGTGTTTTACAAAATTATTTTATCGTTATGCCTTCAAATAATTGCCATTTTACTCGTACACCTAAAACCTTAACAACCAATATATCTCAAAAATGAGTTTCAATTCCAAATTAATTTCACAAAACACGTGTCATAAGTTTTAATTTTGTGAGCCTTGGCTATTGCATGTGCAGATAGAAAGATAAAAGGTGAAAAGGCTTAGACCCAGATGATGCTGATGGTTCATGACTGCATTTCTAGAACGTACACACAGTACTGACAATATTTCATGTATTATTTATACACAGGTATAGAGAAAGAAGAAAGGGGAGTAGTGGAAGGGTTTAGACTCAGATGATGCTGATGGTTCATGACTGCATTTCTAGAACGTACACACAGTACTGACAATATTTCATGTATTATTTATACACAGGTATAGAGAAAGAAGAAAGGGGAGTAGTGGAAGGGTTTAGACTCAGATGATGCTGATGGTTCATGACTGCATTTCTAGAACGTACACACAGTACTGACAATATTTCATGTATTATTTATACACAGGTATAGAGAAAGAAGAAAGGGGAGTAGTGGAAGGGTTTAGACTCAGATGATGCTGATGGTTCATGACTGCATTTCTAGAACGTACACACAGTACTGACAATATTTCATGTATTATTTATACACAGGTATAGAGAAAGAAGAAAGGGGAGTAGTGGAAGGGTTTAGACTCAGATGATGCTGATGGTTCATGACTGCATTTCTAGAACGTACACACAGTACTGACAATATTTCATGTATTATTTATACACAGGTATAGAGAAAGAAGAAAGGGGAGTAGTGGAAGGGTTTAGACTCAGATGATGCTGATGGTTCATGACTGCATTTCTAGAACGTACACACAGTACTGACAATATTTCATGTATTATTTATACACAGGTATAGAGAAAGAAGAAAGG